GGAATTCCCAGGTAACCACGGCAACGGAGCAGCGCCGAGCCCGAGGTGTCCGAAGGATGGGGACTCCCCCGAAATATCCCAAAAACGGACGGAATTCACCCAAAATTCGGGGGTTAAACACAACGCGCGGGGAACTCGGCCCCAGGTTAGGGAATGAGCATGAACCTGAGGGAATTCACACCAAAATTAGGGAATTCACCCAAGGCACAGAACTGAACACAAAACGGACGGAATTCACCCCAAACTGCGGGAATGGAACCACAAACTGAGGGAATTCACCCCAAAGTGCGGGAATGGAACCACAAACTGAGGGATTCACCCCAAAGTGTGGGAATTCACCCCAAACTGCAGGAATTCACCCCAAACTGTGGCAATGGAACCCCAAACTGCAGGAATTCACCCCAAACTGTGGGAATTCACCCCAAACTGTGGGAATTCACCCCAAACTGAAGGAATTCACCCCAAACTGTGGGAATGGAACCACAAACTGAGGGAATGGAACCACAAACTGAGGGAATTCACCCCAAACTGCAGGAATTCACCCCAAACTGCAGGAATTCACCCCAAACTGCAGGAATTCACCCCAAACACAGGAATTCACCCCAAACACAGGAATTCACCCCAAACTGTGGGAATAGAACCACAAACTGAGGGAATGGAACCACAAACTGAGGGAATTCACCCCAAACTGAGGGAATGGAACCACAAACTGAGGGAATGGAACCACAAACTGAGGGAATGGAACCACAAACTGAGGGAATTCACCCCAAACTGCAGGAATTCACCCCAAACACAGCAATTCACCCCAAACACAGCAATTCACCCCAAACTGCAGGAATTCACCCCAAACTGCAGGAATTCACCCCAAACTGCAGGAATTCACCCCAAACTGCAGGAATTCACCCCAAACACAGGAATCCAGCCGGGAGCTCCGCCCGTCTCCAATGATTAACCCGGAACACTCCGGCGCCCGGCGGAATTCCGGGCCAGCCCCTCCCCGCTCCCGGCGCTTTTTGGGGAGGGGGCGAGGTGCACGGAGACCCCCGCAGGTGCCGCTGGCCCGGGATCCCGGGGATCCCGGCGGGTCCCGGGGATCCCCTTTGCCCTTTCTCCCGTCCCGAAGCTCTCCAGAAGTTTTCCCACCCGGGATCGGCAAAAAAATCCCTCGGGGTTCGCTCCGGATGCTCACAGCCCCCTCCCCGGCAAGGGAGACCCCCAAACACTGCCCCGGGGGTCCCCAAAACTCACTCCTCAGGGGTTGTAGCCTCAAAATTCACTCCTCAGGTGTTATAGCCCCCAAACACTGCCCCGGGGGTCCCCAAAACTCACTCCTCAGGTGTTGTATCCCCCAAAATTCACTCCTCAGGTGTTCTAGCCCCCAGAATTCACTCCTCAGGTGTTTTATTCCCCAAAATTCACTCCTCAGGTGTTTTATTCCCCAAAATTCACTCCTCAGGTGTTATATCCCCCAGAATTCACTCCTCAGGTGTTGTAGCCCCCAAAATTCACTCCTCAGGTGTTACATTCCCCAAAATTCACTCCTCAGGTGTTCTAGCCCCCACAATTCACTCCTCAGGTGTTATATTCCCCAAAATTCACTCCTCAGGTGTTCTAGCCCCCAAACACTGCCCCGGGGGTCCCCAAAATTCACTCCTCAGGTGTTATAGCCCCCGAAATTCACTCCTCAGGTGTTATATTCCCCAAAATTCACTCCTCAGGTGTTGTATTCCCCAGAATTCACTCCTCAGGTGTTATATTCCCCACAATTCACTCCTCAGGTGTTATATCCCCCAAAATTCACTCCTCAGGTGTTGTAGCCTCAAAATTCACTCCTCAGGTGTTCTAGCCCCCAAACACTGCCCCGGGGGTCCCCAAAATTCACTCCTCAGGTGTTATAGCCCCAAAATTCACTCCTCAGGTGTTATATCCCCCAAAATTCACTCCTCAGGTGTTATAGCCCCCAAAATTCACTCCTCAGGTGTTATAGCCCCCGAAATTCACTCTTCAGGTGTTGTATCCCCCAAACACTGCCATGGAGGTCCCCAAAATTCACTCCTCAGGTGTCATATCCCCCAAAATTCACCCCTCAGGTGTCATATCCCCCACAAACACAATCCTGGGGGTCCCCAAAGTGTCCCACTCACCCCTCAGGTGAAGCAGCCCAAGCACAACCCTGGGGGTCCCCAAAATTCACCCGCCACCCCTCAGGTGTCCCTCAGGGACCCCAGGATCCCTCATGGATCCCCTCAGGGAACCCAGGATCCCTCAGGGATCCCTTCAGCCACCCCAGGATCCCCCATGGATCCTCCCAGACACCAAGGATCCCCCATGGATCCCCTCAGGGACCTCAGGATCCCTCATAGATCCCCTCAGCCACCCCAGGATCCCCCATGGATCCCCTCAGGGACCTCAGGATCCCTCAGGGATCCCCCAGAGATCTCTCAGACACCCCAGGATCCCTCATAGATCCCCTCAGCCACCCCAGGATCCCTCACAGATCCCCTCAGGGACCCCCCAGCTCCCCTCAGAGACTCCTCAAACCCTCCAGACCCCTCAGCAAACCCCTCAGGCTCTGAAATCCCCTCAGGGACCCCTGAGCCCCTCACGATTCCCCCTCAGCCCCCCCCAACCTTGCGCTGCTGCTTCTCCCAGGCGGGGTCCAGGAGCAGATCCCGATCCCAATCATCCTCCTGGGCCATGTAGTCGCCGTTGGGGCCGGGCCCGTTCCCGCCGTACGGGTGGGGCTGCCCCGCGCTGTGGTAATCCACCATGATCGCCGCGCTGCTGTCGCGACAGGCGGAGGAAGCGCCAGCGACACGGACCCGAGCCGGCCCCCGCCGCGCCCCGACTGCGCAGGCGCCAACGCGCGGGCCCCGCCCACCGCGCCGCGCGCGCGCGGCCACGCCCCTCCCGCCCTCAGGCGCCAGCGAGGCC